ACATATTTTTTAGAAGGAAAATCTGTATTTACCTGTAAAATTTCTTCAGTGTGGGAACCATATTTTGGAGAATGTTCTCTAGGAAAAATACGTATACTAGCACCAGTGAGTCGTCGCAATTCAGCAATTAGAATACTTCCATTACCAAAGAGACAACTCATGTGACGTGCATGTACCAGAAGCCTTGAAACAACTGCAGCTCCTGGTTCAAATCCAATCTCAGCAATTCTGGCCTGTACACGAAGAAGAGCTTCCTGAGCAGGGGAATTTCTTTGCTCTGGGTTCTGCAGAAAGAGCAAAGCAGCTGATCTCAATAAAGCTTGGCAAGGATAGAGTAGCAATGTTAAAAGATCAACACATGCAATTCCTTCTCACTCAATTATATATTCAACAAGTTCAAATAATCTTCAAATTGACTCTACGCAGTTGATCATATGACTGCCAAGTGGCACAAAAAGTAAGTGAGCATATGACTTTAACATAACAAATGCAAGTTGGATCAGTGTTTCAAAAAGCATAAACAGTTGCTTAGTTAATGGTCAGCCTACCCACCTCCCTAGCAGATATCACAACAACTCTTTCATCTAAATCAGATGCTGAATCAGCAATCTTGATAGATGCACCAGTTTCATTCTGCATCACCCTTATAATTGAGCCTCCTTTTCCTATTAAGTTTCCAACTTTGTCAACCGGACACAACACCTTAAACACAATCTCTTCCTCCAAGACCATCCTGTGGTTGATTCCAGCACTTTCAACACCAGAACTCCTTGAAAACTGATCTGGAGTGTGATAACCAGTTCCAGTTTGTGACATTGCTGAAAATTTTGGGGTAGAGGCATTTACTGAATCTATCCTCGAGTTATCCTGAAGACAACTTGAAACAGACAACAGAGCTTTTCTCACAGCTGAAAAGCTTCCGGTTATCTGCAACGTGAAGATATCCTCTGAGAAGTCAAAACCATGTACAGAGTGATGTAATCATGCAAGCGAGACAAAGATAATAAAAAAGTGAAAAAATTCTCAAATAAAGCTAATAAATCAATCCAGCATTTGCCTATGCTAAAATCACATATTCGATATAATACACACAGAAACATCACATATACTTGTAACAGATCTACTTGGTATAAAGTGGAGGAGATTGAACTTCTGGGAGCATACTTGGTATGGGATCATTGTTTAAAAGGATCGCCTCCAACATATGTTTGCCACCTCTGAAAATCAGCATGCTCTGGTGGAGGGAATAGAAAAAAACAAGGATTTAGAAGGAATTGCAGGTTTAGGAGATGGAGGAGTTGGACGATATGATCGCACTGTGCCTCATCAACTTTCAATGTGCGGGAACGGAAGCTTGCAGGTGGAAGGATCAACTGATAGTAAAATCTCAGTCATTCTTTCTATTAGTACCTGCTAAGAGTGATACAAGGGATTTTCCCCTTTGCATCAGCATAAACAGCGCTACAAGTAAAGTGGGTCCATTTGTCTCGTGTATGCTCCTCCTTGCCCTCCGACTTAAGATTACAACGGTCACCTTTGGATATTGTCATGACAATACGAAGGTTACTTTGGTCTAGGTTTATGAATAAAATCAACGAGTAAAAGTACCTCCAACTCAATCAATATCATATGTCATAACTGCTTAGACTTGGTCGAGTTTGTCAGAAGACATAATTTCATGGGTTCATTGATTGGTACAAACAATCCTATCACGATAGTTATATTTTGTGCACAAGTGATATTCAACATGTCTATATGACTGGAGGGGTGTTGTAGAAATGAACTATTCTGCATAGGGCTCCTACTTTATATACCGCTTGTATAGAGGATCTTCGCATTGTCCACCAGGGGGGAGAGCCACTAATAAATGATGCCCTTTTATGCTAGATTGATATGGAGTATCTAGTATCAATCTCACTCATGTATTGCCTTACTCACATAATACATCACTGTTGTTCCTTTTCCTCCTTTCCTTTTTATTATTTTGTATCCATCATGCTTCAAGTTCCGGACTTCCAAAAACATGCACTCAACTTTGTTTCCCCTGCTTCCAGTATAGACTGCGGTCCAAAAAAATTATTTCCTTAAATGGCAGAATTTACAATCTTCATGCATTCAATTGAACATAAAACATAGCTATGCGATACTTTCAATTAGATGTAAGAGCTTTACTGATTCCATTCAATTATTATTTCAACATATCTCTACGAACTCAAGTATAATTAATCTATTCCAACTTCTTCCTCTTAATCTCCATTTTTGTTACTGCTGCAGGTGAACCTACTTTTGACAGGTGAGCACACAAGATAAAAGCGAACCTATCAGAAAGGAGGTCTATTAATTCTGCTTTTTGAGTATAATTTACACATTCTAGCAATGTTTCTTCCTCCGTAGAGAAACAACAAGTTCAACGCTACTGTGTTCCTTTAGGTACATGGAAGTCGTAAGCATGATCAAAAGAACCAATTAAGCACAAAACTCATCATCGAAAACAAATAGTGTTCAGAGTAGTGTTCAAAGACAGTGATATGCAATCAGCAACTCTCTTCGTTTCAGTTTATGTGGCAACATTTCCTTTTTAATCCATCCCAAAAAGAATGACCTCTTTCTAAATTCGAAAATAAGTTAATGTAAACTTTCCATTTTACCCTCGGTAACAAGCTTTTATTGCCACACAAATGTTAGATTGTTATGGCATGTTTAAGACCACAAGTTTCAAACATTTCATTTTTTTTCTTAAAGTATTTAGAACAACAACAACAACAACAACAATTAGCTCCAAACAAGTTTGGATCGTATAGGTATTCCTCACTTCTCCATTTAAGCTCAATTCAAGTCATCAGTTCACATAAATTGCAACATAGGGAGTAAATGATATTAAATTCAAGACAGCTGGATATTAGGATGAAGTGTATGGAGCAGGAAGAAAGTGCATTGCCTGAATTAACTCGTCACCAGGTGAAGCACAAGCAGGCAACTGATCTTTAGGTAAAACCCTAACTTGAGCTCCAGCCTCCTGTCTTATCTTCTCAATAATCTTCCCCCCTCTGCCTAGCACGCTGCCAACCTGATTACTCGGTGCTAACAGTCTACAAACAACCACTCCCTGTGGACCCGACACATCACTACATTCATCCTTCCTCCCCTCCCCTTCCGCATTCCGCTCCTCGTCCACCTTCAATATCCTCTCGAAAACTCTAATCAACGCCCGCTGAGCCTGCGATGACGATGACTCGTCGTCCAAATTTGCTAATTCTTCGGCACTGGAATTAGCAGCTGAGCTGCACTCTTTCTTCGTCGAGTCGGCTATTATAACAATAACGCGCTCATCGCAGCCGGGAAGTGAATCGTCGATACGAATTTTAGCTCCGGTCTCCTCTCGGACCTGGCGGATGATGGCGCCGCCTTTTCCGATGACGCCGCCGGTTTTGTCCGCCGGACAGAGGATACGGAAAAAGGCTTCACTAGGAGCGAGCTTCAGAAAAGGAGGCGGCGGTGGTGTACGGAAGGTATTGGACGGCGGAGTTGCAGAGGAAGACTGTAATTGGTGGCGGCGCTTGGTGGGAGTGGAAGCAGTGGAAGTATCTGCTGTGGTGGAGTCCAGCTGTCGCTTCTGCGCCAAGGATGCGTCCATGAAAGGGAAAAAGCGTAAGAGAAGAGAAGCAGTAATATGGATTAGTGAGGTTTTTAATCCGCGCTATATTATAGCCGAAAAAATGACAAAAATAAAGGAATGTTTACACCGCAGGTTAAATTTATTAATAGTATTTATTTTTCTTAATAGATTATATACGATTATATACATATTATATACAACAATAACAACTTAGTGTAATGTCTGGCCATGGCAAGAAGCTTTACCCTATCTGTCTTAGTGTAATGTCTGGCCATGGCAAGAAGCTTTACCCTATCTGTTTTCGCTTTCCGATAAACGCTTGACTAAAATAATATATACATATTATATATTATTATATATTTGAGTGGAGCTCGAAGGGACTGAACGTTATGAAATTCTTACCTCCACCACGGGTTAAAAGTGATGATTCTATAGAGCTAATAGCGCTAAAATGCAGTCTAAACTACGTGTGACCACTATTCGATGTCCTTGGATCCTAAGCTTTTTGATAGACGTTGTAATTTCAAATTAACTCTTGATTTATCGTAATTGTAGGCCTTCCATTGTCTAAATTGAGATGTTTAGAAAACCAACTCTAGACTGAAAAAATATCAAACAAATGGAGACCAGCAACATCAAGAGAGGTGCACCTCAAGACCTTATTATTAATTATTGCACATCCGTTCAATAAATTAAAGAACAAACATTGTACCCAAGTGATATCGCTTAGGTATAAATTCTCAATCACAACTTTATTCTTCAAATCTGATGATAAAATCAAACCTCAACATAAATACACCTAAATGACCCTGTCATTCGCCATGCTATTGGATAAATAGAGATACACCAACCATACAAAAGACTGAGCAAACACGCATTTTTTCCACCATGATTTCTCCAGATTTCATGGATCCAGACGTGCATCACGGAAGACTGCACACAACTCACTTGATGTGTTCTTACATTGTAGAAGACTACAGAATTATTTTCTGCTCACGAATTTGGCCGATTCCTCCAAAAATTGCATGTTTCAGCAAATTACAATTATCGAGTCTCATCCTCAAGGTTGCGGAAACCAGCAGTCAAATCATCATGAAGCTTCTTAAACTTGCCCACCAGAACGTCTTCGCCTTCTGCTGGATCCTCGAACTTTTGGGACCTGTGTGAAATGGAAGTGTAAAAAGCAGGAAAAATAGGGAAAGGACAGGCCAAGTATTGGACTGTCAGCATGGAACATAACTACATCTGTAATATGATAGATAAAGTAGAACAAAGTCCATGTCTAAGCAGTAACTTACACCAAACGGTAGAATAAATCTCCTAAACGGTGCTTAATGAGAGTGTAAGTAATTTTCTGTCCATCCATACCAGCTCCTCGTTCAACAGCCTGTCCAAAGATGATCACAGAAGATGTTACAAGGAAATCCCAAGGTTCAATTTTCTCTAGTTACTGGTCTAATGACATTTGTCCCAAAAGCTAACTTAGAATCTTGCTAAATATGATAAAAGGTGATGTAAGCGCATAAAATAACAACCGTCATCAGTATAAAGAATTGAATGCATCTACAGACATTAAAAAATTGCACTCTGAAGGAATTAGAGGAGGAAAATCCTGATGCATTGAATGCCAGACTATCATTACCTGGTTAGCCAAGTTATAGAAGTGGATAATGTTGCGCAACATCCAAACAGATTTGTAGAAAGGGCAGAACTTATCATATCTGTCATAAGACAAAAAAGTGAGACCATGCCAATCCTAATTCCTTCCAGAATAAGGTATCACAGTTGATTTCTATAACTTACGGTGTAAAAGCATTTTGTGCAAGGTAGTCCTCCCTTAAAAGCTTTGCAGTTTCCAAGGTAATCTTATCTGTTTCAGCTAAAGCATCCTTTCCGACAAGCTGCAGAAGGCAAGATCACCCAATTTAGGATGGATGTGTAGTTTCTTAGTTTTTAGGTAGTAATATGTCACAATTGAATGCCAGTAATTCTCTTATAGAGCTAAAACAAATATCTTAATAACTTGAATATATATTTCAGTAGTAATAAATTCTATAAAGAGCCGTGGACCAACCTTGGAAACCAGATACCTAATCAATTTCATGGGATATACTAGGAATTGATTGATTGAAGGAACTAGAAGGTAAACAATGAGTTCTAGAGTAATATTACAATGCCGTGTTTAGTAGTGCTGCATCTTTGTTGAATGTTCTTAATTTTGAATCCCTTTCTCTAACACCCTCCTATAGGTGTAAGTTGGTTCTTGGGTTTACGCGTGGATTACTTATTTTCTGTGCTTTTTTTTGGCGGGAGAAGATTGTAGAGTGGAATTAATATAGCTATATGTCAGGGACCAAAATTCACCCAGCTCTGTGTCATTCTACCCAATGTAACCAATTTCTTTTCCACCCAACACAATCCATCTAAGTATGAATTGCCTCCCTCACAACATGACTTTTAAGTCTGTTCTTCAAGGAATATGAACAAGGAAGACAGAGAGCACAAAGGCTGGCAAATAGTTATTTGACCAATGGATGTTTCTGTGTCCATATCAACAATAGTCAGACCAAATACAAGTGAAAAAGCTCCTTAAAACAAAACAAGCCTAAAGGTAGTGCTACATCGACCCCACCCATCCCCTTCTCCCAAGTAAATTAAATCGGGTGGCATTATCACATACAGCTCCAGAAAAAGCAAAAAAACACATACTTGAACAATTTCATTTAGGTCATCCTCCCTCTGCAGCACCTCACGGGCTTTTGTCCTTATGTCAATAAAATCAGCATCAAACTTCTCATAAAAGGACTCTAGTGCCTGGATATTAAAAAAATGTCAAGTCAATGAGAAGCAGTTTATCGCCAATGAGCACAAACAGCAACAACAACAACACCAACAACATACCCCAGAGTATTTCGAATAGGAAATAAGCCAATTTACAGAGGGAAAGTGTTTCCTTTGAGCCAATTTCTTATCCAGACCCCAGAAGACCTGCAAAAGAATAATACTTTAGAGAAGCTGGCAGAGGCAGGAACCAAAACTTCCAGTAATGACGATTGCGTTTTTACTCGCCTGAACAATACCGAGGGTTGCAGATGTAACAGGATCTGAGAAATCTCCTCCTGGAGGAGAAACAGCACCAACAATAGTCACACTACCAGTTCTCTCTGGTCCACCAAGACACTTGACTTTACCAGCACGCTCATAGAAAGATGCCAAACGTGCTGCCAAATAAGCAGGATATCCACTGTCTGCAGGCATCTCAGCCTGAAATGTGCATATTGTATCAACATACATGAAGACACCAAGAAAACAACTTCTCTCCACATTGGGAAAGTAATAATGTGAAACTCGTTTACTCTATTGAAGGTTTTGATCCATAGCATGCCCCCACAAGTTGCCCCAATGGTTGAAACTGGACTCTTAATGGGGCAGCAACTTACATGTTAGTAAGCATATATGCTTAGAAATTAAAAAAGGGTGAATAGAGCACCCCCCATGAAAATAAAAAGAAAAGGAGTTTCCTTCTCTATATAACCGACTAAGGTTAAAATGCATGATATAGAGAAGCTACACAGATACTCCAAGCTGCCACTTTCAAAAGGGAAAAGAGCCTAGGAAGTTGGAAAAAAAGTAATGAGACAAAGGCCAGGGCATGCCCCACCGAACTTACCGAAAAGAAATTGAGAACGTGAAAAGGAAAAGGAGATGCCACAAAGTTCCTTCCAATAAAGTATAAAGATTTTTCTTTTTGAAAATAATAAGAAAATATATATACTTTGTAGGAAGGATAGATCTTTATACTTAAATCTCTCTAGCCTGCTCTAACCACTAACCTTCAAGTCGAAAATACGCGCTTAGAAGAAGAAAATAAAAGTAAATCCCTTCTCTTACTCTAGGAGCAAAGTTATCTGAATCTCACGCAAGATAGGAGTAAAAATTAATGACTAAAAGAAAGTCCAAAACTAGTTTGAACACCGCAATACCAACTGTAAGTCCGCAATCACATACCAGTAACCTCTTTACAACTGCATTAATGGTACATTTTCACTAATGGCCAGTCAAATCCGCTTCATTTTGAATATAAAACAAAATCAGTTCTGCTTGCCACAATGATTTTACTGAGATTTGGATATTACACAGATTTTAGTTTACAATGCCTGTCTGTGCATGGGGTGGGCAATATAATGAGTCAAGTACTGAAAAAATGATAAAAGAAACCTTAAAGCATCAGTTACCAAGAATAGGAGAATATTTTAGCTGTTGCAACTAAAGGAACGAAGAAGTTATTAGACTTGTTGCAATGGAAGGAACGGCATACTCACCAATCGACCTGAGATTTCACGTAAAGCTTCTGCCCAACGAGATGTCGAATCTGCCATCATACTGACATTATAACCCATGTCTCTGAAGTATTCTGCTATAGTAATACCTGAAAATCATAAAGAAACAAGCTGAAGAACTGCCTTGGTGTATGTTATCATAATACAGGAAAATTACATGATGAGATAAGACCAATTGTAAATGGCAGAATCAAGGACCTTCTCCAAGGAATATTGACATAGTAGGAATATTAGAGAGTGAAGCAAGTACCGACCTGTATAGATTGAGGCCTCACGAGCAGCCACAGGCATGTTTGAAGTATTAGCCACAAGTGTGGTACGTTTCATGACAGACTCTTCACGCCCATCAGGCAATGTCATTGTCAATTGAGGGAAATCCATAAGTACCTGAAATTAAGGATCTTCTGCTATGTGACTCAATATAATAAGAAAGAGCTCGCAAATAGAGTGGAAAAACTCCATACCTCTGCCATTTCGTTTCCTCTTTCTCCACAACCAACATACACGACAGTGTCCGAGTTAGAGTACTGCATTCATTATTAAAACGAAACAATAACTTGAATAAGCTTCCTAAGGATCAGTTCTAATTTTTGGAAACTGAAATTAAGTAGGTAATCCAATGTGAATAAATATGAGACTCGCCTTGGAAAGAGCTTGACTAATCACTGTCTTCCCACAGCCAAAAGCACCAGGTATGGCACAAGTACCACCAAGCACTGAGGGGAACAGGGCATCCAGAACA